GGGGAGGGGAGTCCATGAGGCAGAGGAGGAGAGGAAGCGGCCGCAATGTACAGCATGGGGGCAGCCAACCAGCCTGCACAATGCTTGAATCATCTATTCTTCAATTTCTCACGGACCTGGCCATCAACACATATTGCCCCGTAGTTCTCATCAAAGTCGGTCAGCTTCATCATCTGATGAGGCACCAGGGGTTGGACAATTGGATGCGATAAGTAAGCGAGTTGTGCCAGTTCACAACAAAGCAGTGTTCAGCCCTGCCTAGCGAAGGGCCCTTGCCTGCGCAAGAGTCAGCCCCAGCGCCATGCGTTCATGTCCCCACACCTGGAAGTCATCGGGGGCGATATCTTTGTCGGCAGAGAGCGCGTCGGGGGCTATGGCCACCCATACCTTGTCATCGCTGAGTTCCTCACTGGTCAGGGGAGGGGTGAATGCGCACAGCCCAGGCTCCTGGTCAGCAGCGCCCTTGACATGCAAGGCATCAGCAGGGCATCCCGCACCACCCCCCTGATTCCGGGGGCCCCAGGCGCAGCACCGACAGATCACTCACATCTCGGTCTCGCTGAGCTCGCCGTCTGTGCCGCCCATGCCTCCAGCCTCCAGCAGCTCACACAGCGCCAGCAGGGGGGGCACCTCGCCGCCGTCCTCATCGCTCTCGGGGGCAGAGGGGTCGATGAGCGTGTAGATGACGCTGCCGTCGCGGTTGGTGCGGCCCACCAGCCACACGCGGTCGCTCACTGCGCGGTACCCCTGTCAGTCATTTGGGAAGCGGTGCCGCAGGACAACCAGGAACAGAGGTCAGCTCAAGCGAGTTTTGAGCCATGGCAGGCGTGTTTGGCAGATGACGCGGAGATGTTATAAAACCTTCTCGTAGGCATCAAGGCTACACGGTGATGTGGATGTTACCCTTGCCACTTGGGAGTGGGTGTTTGGCCACAACGACAAGCGCCCCAAACCTGGGAGGTGATGGGGTCAAAGTAGATGTTGCCGCGCAGGGCCAGTACCGCCGCCCCGTACATGTGCAGCCCGCTGTCGTGGCCCCACTCGTCGTCCTCCTTTGGCTGGGGAAGCAGCCTGGGCCGCCGCTCTGCCTGGGTGCCGCCGCTGCTGGTGCTGCCGCTTGAGGTGCTGCTGGTGCTGGCAGGGACAGGCTCCTCCCCTGATCCGCCAGTCAGCTTGCTCAGCAACGAGCCAAGGAACCCCTTGCCCTGGCGGGGAGTCTGCTGCAGAGTTTGTGCCCCCTCCGGCAGCTGCTGCTGCTCCTGCAGAGGTGGCTGTGGCTGGCTCGCCTCAACCTCCCGTTGCTGCTGCTGGCCGCTCCGCCCGCGTGCGTCAGGCAGCTGCTGACGCGCACGCTGCTGCTGGAGCAGCTCCTTCCGCTGCTGGCTGCCTGCCTGGACGGGCATGTCAGCCGACCATGCGTACATGGCGCGGCGCTTGTAGCGCTGCCCGCTGCTGATAACTCCGCCCACCTGCGCACGGTTGGGGTTGGAGTGTGGCAGGTTCGCTTGAGTTGCTGGTCCCCTGTGCAGCTGCTTCCCCACAAGTCGCAGGCCTTCCAAACGGGACTGCCCCACGCAGCCAGCGTCGCACAGTGCTGAAGGTGGGCCACACCTTGGTTGCCCCTGGGAAAGCGAAATCAAGTCCAGCCAGGAGGGGTCGCGTCTGCTGGAACTTGGGGTCCGCCAACACGAGAAAGCTCGTGGGCTGCTGCGGATCACCAGGGTTCAGGCCCACCAGGCCTGACCACGCCTCGGGGGACGCGTCTGTGCAGCAGGGCGGGAGCCCCAAGAACAAAGGGGGGGCCACGTTGATATACAAATGCTGCACTGCAGGATTCCCGGCCATCACCAGGGGCAGTCCGTGCTGAGTTTCTGGGCTTCCTCGCGCCGTCCTTTTTGTGCATCTTCACGGCACTCATCACACCGTCGAAGCCCCAGCGCACCTTCGTCCGGGATGCCGCTGCGCAGTGTGTGGGTAACGCTGATCTCCGTCCCCGGCAGGCTGGCCAGGGTGATGCTGATGCCCGCGACGCCCTCAGCGTCTGCTGTCGAGTCGGAGGTGCTGCCAATGGCCCCAAAGGACTGCAAGGGGCCACAGGCGCGCGCGGCCACTGGGGTCGGGCAGCACGGCGTGCCGCGGCCGCAAGGCTGGTAGTGCTGTTCCTGTGCTCGTCTGGCGCGCGCCAGCAGGCAGATCCCTTGTGCGCGGGCATTCAGATCGTGCGCGCCCCTCCCCCCACCCCCAAAATCAATTGATTGCGAGCCTCGCAATCAACAAGGGCAGCAGCCCCCCCAGCTCACGGTGCAGCCGAAGATGTGCCGCAGCGAGGGCACCAGCTGGCGCAGCGCTGGCACCACCTCCTCCAGCCCGCTGCCGTACGCCGCCGCTGCAAAAACCAGCGCCAGCTCCGGCTCAAAGCCGTCGCCCTGCCCCGCGCGGATCGCTGCCACCGCCTCCTGCACTGCCTCGAGGGCGTCCGCCTTGGTGCTTAGAAACGACCCCAGCCGTGCATCACCATCAGGTGTCGACACGACGTTGCTGACATGGCCAGCTGCTGCCCGCTGCTGCTGCTGTTCATTCTCCTGCTGCTGCTGCTCCTGCTCCTGCTGTTCCTGCTGCTGCTTGGGGGAGGATGCACGCATAGTGAGCTGCGGTCGGCGCTGCCTTTGGCACCGCTGCACGGCTGCAACTCCGCCCCCGCTGCTGCACGCCTGCTGGAAGAGCCGCTGCGGCTGCCGCTGCTGCCGTGGGCAAACCAGCTGGCCATGCTGCCGCGCTGAGACTAATAACATGTGTCTTCTCGAGCGAATGCGGCTGGGTGGAAGCCTAAATGAGGCACGCAGCACGCTCTCGCACTGCACTGCACAGTCTGCGCGGGCGTGCTCCAACAGATGCTGCTAGTATTATATGGGAACGATGACACGTGTTATCATATCATAATCGGCACGCAATACACTACCGTCCCGTGCGTGACGGCGACCACGCTGATCACTGCGGGCGCCTGATCTACAAGCTGCGTGCACGGTGCTCCTGCAGACGACAAACAGCCGTCGTCGCATGGTTTCTGCATGACAGGTCAAGACACGCAGCCCTTCCGCGCCGCACTGTGGGCTTTTGTGACACCCCCTGTCGCACCGTCTTCAAACGCGCACGGCGCAAACCGATTGCAATTCAGGGATGGCTGAGGCCCGGGCGCAAAGCAGAGTAGCAGGTCACAGCCTGCAGTTGAAGGAGGTGATGCCCTACGTGCATCCCCATATCGTGGCGATGCGGGACTGGGCCCGGCTGATGGCCACAAGCAGGTATGAACGCCCTGTCATGATGCAGCGACGCAGGCGCTTGTGCTCACGCTGCCGGTATGGGGGCTGCTCCATCAAGGGCCCCTCATCACACTCTCCCCCCGGCGCAGGCAGCTTCGTGCGCTGGGCCATTTGCTGCTGGAGCAGGGCGAGGCGCTGGCCGTGGACGTCTCGGGCCTGAGCCACACACATGCCAGTGGCGTGATTGCCTTTGTAGGTGGGTGCAGGCGGCTGGGGGCCTGCCCCACCCCGGCTCACGCGAATTGTGCTGGGTGCAAAGAATGTCGCATCAATCCTCCCACCAAACCCCATGCAAGTGACCCGCACCACCCCTAGCTTGTGGCACATATAGCTCACGCGCGCGCGCACACACACACACACACACACACACACACACACACACACATGCACGCACACATGCGCATCCACACACCCTTACACGATCACATACATGCTCAATACACACTCATTTATCCCCATGGCCATCTTGCTGATGCCCAGGGAACCACTCTGCCGGGCGCGTGTGCTCACTGGCTCTGCCTGACGGTGCTCGCCTGCGGCGGTCCGAGCTGCTTCAGCCCTGCGTAGGAGGCTCGCTCCAGCGGCTGGAGGTGCCCGGTCTCAGGGGCCGCTTATGTGACGCTCTAGGGCCTGGCCTGGGGGTGCGCTGCCCTCGCCTCACTCACCTGGACTTGTCGGGGTGTGGCCCCATCACCCCCGCCCTCCTGGCCAGCTTTGGTTCTTCACCTGCCGGGCACCCACTCGAGACCCTCATCCTGACTGGAGTGAGTGAACCGCCACCCACGAGGACGCTACAGCGGCGCTGGCGGCTGCTAGCCAGTACGCAATCCTGTGCCCAAGCGATGTCAGGCCTGCTTTCCGAACTTTTGATTTTGCCCCTCCTGGTTCCACCCCCTTGCAGTGCTCAGCCACAGTCCCATGGCGCGAGGTGCTGTCGGCGCTTCCCGGGCTGCCACGCTTGAGGGCGCTGGAGCTGTCCCAGTCCCCAGGTGCAGGCGTGTCTGGGCTGCAGCTAAGTCGCTCGGACCTGCACATGGGCCTGGCCGGCCCAGACAAGGGGCAGCGGCCCTACCCGGTGAGCTTGACCACCCACCAGCAGCTCGCCATGCACAGCCTTGCACAGCCTTGCACAGCCCGAGGGAGAACAAGCGCGAGGTGGAAAAATGATTCTGCACGAGAACCTTGTGAGGGCCTCCTGCCACCCACCACTGCCCACGTGCGAAGGAGCTGGCTGCCTTGGGCCTGGCGCGACAGCGGGGCCTTGACCCTGCTGACATTGCTGCCCTTGCACACATGGCGCCGTCCCTGCAGCGGATCAATCTTACTGATGTAGTGAGCGCCACGGGAGATTGGGGGTGTGCGTCCTGAGGCATGAGGCCACAAGGGCGCCATCGCCTGTCATTCGCTGCTTGCTAGCGGCGCAGATGCAGGGGTGAACGAAAACGCGCCTGCTCTTAATTTCTTGCGGCTTGGGGACTTCCTGTGCAGGCCCGGTGCGACTTTGTGAGGATGGTGCTGGCGCTGACGGGGCTGCAGGTGGCGCTGCTGGGCGGGCTGCCCTGGGGTTTGCAAGACGAGGACGTGTTGGCCCTGGCGGCAGCTGTGCCCAACCTGCGCGTGCTGGACATCAGTGGCCACGCTGACCTGGGCGACGCAGCCTTGGTGGCCTTGGGCGCATGCCAGCAACTCAGCAAGGTGCGACACCAAGCCTGTTGGGTTTGTGCAGCGGCGCAGACCACCTCGCTCTGCTGGCTGTAGGCTGTGCATCACCGTTCAGGCTGTCCCTGCCCCTCCCTTCCCGGCCTGCATGCTGCAGTCACACTGCCCACGGTCGCCCCCCACCGCAGTTGACATTGGCAAGACAGCCCAGATTCACGCCTGGGGGGCTTGGTATTCTGCTGCAAGCTGTGCCAGGTTTGATTACTGTTGAGGTGGTCAGGTGCCGGAGGCTGCATAGGCGCGCCCTGTTCCAGATTCAAGCACAGCGTTCTAGTGTTGCCCCAGGCCCCACGAGGCTGCTACTTGATCGAGAGAACGTCAGTGAGCCATGGTGGCTGGTGTAATATAAAACATGTCCCAGTTGCTGCCACCTCAGCACAGCTCGGCCTGATGCTCTGTGTGTTTACACAGCAGCCACAAAAATGTAAATGTTGAGTTGGAGAAACAATCCTGTAATGCTGCCCGAAGAACCACTGGACTCATCCCTGCTAACTCTCTGAGACAGGACATTTCGCCCCGGCTGTTGGCCACACCACTTTCCTCTCCACTTCTTGGCATGCAACACCGAAATTGACGGGTGCATGTCTCAAGGCAAAACAACAACACTCACAGCCACGACGCGGCAAACAAAAGCAGACAGTGCACAACTAGAGCGTGCAGCAGCGATTAACAGGGAGATAGTGGGTGTTGGCCCGAGGGCACGCGCCAGCGGCGCGGTCGAGTTGCGTCGCCCCCGCCCCCCTTCCTCCACGGCAGCTCGTCTCTGCTTTCGTTTCCCGCGCTCAGGTCCCGCGCGGTGCGCCGTTGTCTTCCACCTCAAAAGTTGTGCACCCGGATGCTGTGGGGCGGGTGAGGCCAGAGACCCCACCGCCCCGACAAGCACACGCGCGCGCCAGGCGCCGTTCAAAAGGCCAAACGCCGGCAATTTGTGCGAGTGTTGTGATGCCCTGCCAACCCCCACCCCCGCAAGAGTGCCACCACTGAGGCGATCCCGGGGCTTCTTCCCAGCCCATCGCTGCACCCAAACACGCGAATCTCACGGGTCGACGTGCTGTACAGCGCAAACACTTGAACAAGACGGCGTAGTTGCACGCATGAGGATGCCGATGCACACCACAGCCAAATGCCCTTTTCCCCTCCCAACATCCGAGGGGCAATGCACTGGCGCACAGGCGCCCAAATCAACCTGCCCATCTACCCAGCTCCATCGAGTAGCGGCCGCCAAATCGAGCTCCACGGCGCCATTGAGGCGTGCGCGGCTTACTCAACGCCCTGCAGGGGTTGGCGGGGTGGCGGGCGCGTGTTTAGCCAGGGCATCTGAAGAAGCGAGGGCGGCCTGCTTTGCAGCTGATTGTGTACGGCGACAGCGCAATCGGGCTGGTGATGCTCAAGTTAGCAGTTTCAACCCCAGATGTCAAACACCAGCTTGCCTCAATCTTATCCTCCACATCCATGTAGAGCTGGCGAAGCCTCTCAATCTGGAATAGAGTGTCAGCGTGGCACCGGGTGCAAGAGCTCAGCAGCAGAGTGAGCTGTGGGTGAAAAGCGGACAGCAGTTGAGTTCGCAAGTCGCAGCCTACATGATTGCCCTTTGACTGCTGGCTGGCAGTTGTCTATAACCCCAGAGCCAGGGACTACGGTCTCAACAATGAAACCCCACCTTCTCAGGGTCCGCCTCCCAGTAACCGCGACCATTGGCCTCCAGGAAGGTGGCCACCAGCTTGCGGAAGCTGCAGTTGGACGCCGGTGTGGGGGGTGGTGAATGAGCATGTGGGCGACCAGGGGCTGATTGGTGGACTCTTGGCAATTCTTGGAGTACGTGAATAATGTGCACTGCAAGCTCTGGAGGGCGTGCAGGCAGTAGGCCTGCCTTTGCGTTCATGTTCTATCAGTGTTGCCAGCCTGGCACCACAAACCGCCCAACAGCCCCGTCACACGCACCTGTTGGGGTTGGCCTCCATGAGGCGCGCCGCCATCTCGGGGTCCTCGATGAACGTCGAGTTGGCCTCGTCGTACACCCAGTTGTCCACCTGGCCGCTGGTCGCGCTCCAGCCCATGGTGTTGGTCAGGCGCTTCTGGATCTCGCGCACGCCCTCGTAGCCCGAGGACATCATTCCCTCGTACCACTTGGGGTTGAGCAGCTTGGTGCGCGCGTCCAGCCGTACCGTCTCGCCCAGGGTGCGCACCTGCAGGTGTCGCAGGGGTGGTGGGAGGTGGGGGGTCACGAGTGGGTTCCAGGCTCCGGCGGTCGCGAGGTTAGGTTTGACGGGGCTGTGCTTGCGGCCCTCTCCAGCAAAGTGGTGAATTCACTGCCATCATTGCATGCACACTCAAACATCGTCCATGAGCTGCCCAAAACTTGCATCTGGCCCCAGCCAAGCACACCTCACCCACCCACCCCCCCCCCCGGGCTACGCCGTGTATCACCACCCCCCTTACCTGCGCGTTGGCGGTGGTGGTGTCGGCGATGTAGGAGGAGGGCGCCTTGCCGTCCGTGCGCAGGCCCTGCACCAGCTTGGTGGGGTCGCTGTCGAAGTAGTGGCTGACGTCGGTGAGGCTGATCTCGCTGCTGTCCAGGTTCTGGAACGTCACGTCCACCGTCT